GGGTGGAAGTGCAAGGTATACGATTGCGCCACTTTCTCCACCTCCTCGTCAGACGTGGTAATCGTGCAATGGGGCGACATCGGGACTATACAAATGATATTCCAACTCCGCAAAACAAAGTTTTCGGAGGATTTCGACTGTGTTGGTAGCAGTGGGCAGACTCAAATTGTCATGCAACAACACAATGTGCTTGAATAGCACTTCTCTGACAGTTTCAGAAAGGTGTAAGCACACATCTTATAGCCGATCTTTGATTTCTGAACTTTTTATTGATCATAGGCAGGCATCCACCAATAAATATATCTGAAACAAGGCTTTGTGAAAACCAAGATTAATGTCTGATGAGGAGGTGAAGACAGCAGTGCATTCGTAACTAATAGTTAAACATAAAGAACTTTGAAGGGAGTACAAAAATACTTACACATATCTGTTTAAAAGCTTATCAATTATGTAGAAGAATTTTGTATTTACCTTTTTTGAGCTACTTAAGATTGTTCTTCAGCCAGAGTGCTGGCAATCTTTTACTACCCCTTACATATAATATCTGTATTAAAGTAGCCTCTTCCAATAGACATCTGTTGAGTAGTTCTGGGCAAGTTTTGTGACGTAGAGGAGCTGGCGAACATTGCACATCAATACAAAAAGCAATACCCACCCTACTAGTGAGAGTGATATGCAGCGGTGACACGATTCATTCGAGTGTGATGTATTTAGGTTATGGAAATTACAAAGCAAAGGTTGTTTCAAATTTATGTATTGCACTTCTGAGCGCCAGCGCAGCAGGTAATTGCATGCACTCCAAATCCAGACTGTCACACGCGCTTTGTTACCGCAGCTAAGCAGATGACATCTACATCACAGGAGCACTTGAGCGAATTTGTCGTGCATTCATTATGCGGGAACTTTAAAGACATTTTGTACCAGAAGCACTTTTCTGAAAATAAACTTCCGATGAAAACACGGTATGAAACAATCTGGTCATCTAGAATTCTACCATGTTCACAGTCGAAATTTTCGACTTTATTTTGTCTTGATATCACTCGCCACCAGCACCTTTGCATTTTCTTTCGCTCCCAGCTCTAGTCTGGGGGTTCTGCATGGCCTTATGTGCGACTGATTGCGATACTGCAGGAAGACTATCATTTCAACTAGAACAATAAACAATATTTAAAACAAATTTTAAGGTAGTACTGTTGCAACTATTAGCATCTTCTCCGCCTGCCGAAAGGCGGAAGGTTGTAGAGGCGTAGAAAACGACACAAGGTAACAACCCACAGGATTGTCAATGACCGGTGAGTAAAGAAGCAATAAGGAAGGGCTATGGCTTCCCGATAAATATCTTCTTACCGCTCTGACTGGTCTCTCCGTGGCCCGCGCGCCCACTAGCGATGGCTTCTTCTGTGATATTCCAACAACCACGGCAGTTACGGTGGGTCTGTAAAAAAGATAAGCTTGAGAATAGCTCCAAAAAACTGTCGTTCTGTGACAAAACAAGCCACATGAAACAAAGCAGAATAATAAAATTGGTGCTTGCTTACCACTTGGCTCGACAGCCTCTTCGTTTTTAAGGAAGGAGAATAGAAGGTTTGGCCGCGCTACGGACATTCTGGCAAGCTTTGCTAGAAGCTCCTGAGCCATTGCTGCCGCTCGTGCGTCGAACACGTGTTAGCGCCACGATTGCGGAAACGTCTTCGAAACGACCGCGGCGGCCGAGCAAAGGGGATTCCCGGGCAGGTGGATGACGGGGAGGCATCCGCCGATTTCGGAGCAGTGGTCATGTTCTATTGGGGATCCGTAGGCGGCGCGACCCCGTTCGGATCGTGTGCTCCATACCGGACCTGGTCAACTGATCCCGGCGCGCTCCAAAACATCCAGTGGAATTCGCCATAAGATTGACGCAACATAAGATCGGCCTTCAGCACACGCTTCTTGTCCGTACCCAGGCAGCACAAAACGTCGTGGAAACGTCGAGAAAAAGTCCCGGACGTCCGTGACGTCCCGCATGACTTCGATCACGTTTTTTCGACGTTGAGGTGACGTCCTTATATAACGTTTCATTAGAGTCCAATCAGTGACGTTGTGACGACGTTGTATTTCAACTCAAACGTCGTCAACGTTCCCACGACGTCGATGCACGACGTTCTCACAACGTCTAACGCTCACGTTTCTTTGACGTGGAACTGAAGTTCATAAATGACGTCCCATTATCGTCCTGTCCGTGACGTGCTGGCGACGTCACGTTTCAACTTTAACGTCGTCATCGTCGCCACGACGTCAAAACAAGACGTTTTAACAACGTCGAACACTCACGTGTCTTCAAGGTTAAAATAAAGTCCAGGGTGACGTTACATTATTGCCCCGTCAGTGACGTTTCTGCGACGTCGCGTTCATACCTAAATGTCGTAAACGTCATACAAGACGTGCTGGCAACGTCGACCACTCACGTTTTGTTCGTCGTTTTTAGATTTTGCAGCTCAATATCCAGCCGCAGAATCAGTGTGGTCAAGGTGACAGCGCTCAAGAGCCGCAAACAAAACTTAATTTTTGAGAGGTTGAGAAGTTTAATTATTTATACATTAATTTGCGTATTTCAAGAAGCTATTAATTGCACATCGATGACGCTAAAAAGGGCATTTACAAAACTCAATGTACACGGAAGAAAAAAAATAGTATGAAAGCATGCTGGGAATATCATTCCTTTTAGATGTGCTTGTTATAATTTTGGTTTGTTTAAAATATTGTTACGGGTTTAATTTGCGAAGCCCATGGGGTCTAGGACGGATCGAATTGTGCCATTCTTGTATTTTGCACGCGCGTTGTCGTCTTCCATGGGTCCTGGGCCCTGGCACGCGCCTCAGGGGCGCCGCTGCACTATCCCCTCTCCAGGTGATTTCAGGCCTGCATCCTTTCCTAGGAGCATCCATACTGCTCCGCGACCACCCGAGATTGTTTTAAGGCTCGTCAATTTCTCTTCGTATTTTGTAACCCCATGCTCACCTGCGCACAAAAAAAAAAAAATTCACATCAACATCGCAGTTCATCTATAACACCAACTTCCAGCGCCTTAGCGCTTTCGGCAGATCGGGGCGCAGTCTTGTCACGTGACTGTCAGTACAGATCTGGCTTTCGTTGCCACTGGTGACGTACCCAAACGAAAATCGCATGCGCACAACTTCACTGCACACTTGCGCATTTTTGGAGCTGACTCAAAAAAAAAAATGCCCGGCAATGACGAAATCCGGTAGATACTGTCAACGGTTTGTGGAAATTGACATTCATGATGCCAACCTCTGAATGGCCCAGATGACGGTCCAAAATGCGTTCAAGCCCAGTCCGCACTTACGTGCCGAAAAAAAAACAACACACAAACAAAAAAAGAAAGAAAAAACCAGCCTGCACGGCGCGAGAGAGAGGGGGAAAGGTAAGCAGAGGAGATGGCATCTCCATAGAGCCCCATGCGATGCGTCGGGAAACTCGGCAAGAAGAGGGCGAGAGAGAAAAGTGGGGGAAGATAGCGACGACGAACAATTGACAAGCCTAAGTTCCGGGGGCACGTATTTTCGCAGTCGTTCCCAAAATATTTCACTGAATGTTCTGTTCTTCGAATTGGCCCAGAGAGAACAGCTCTGGGACCCGGTCCAGCTTTTTCCGAAAGCCCGGCCGTCACGTCTACGGGTCTACGAGGCAAGCTGCTATGTCGCCGTGATATTTTTTTTTTTTCGAGTCTGCATACAGTATAAGCGCTGCGATTGGATGAGTCGTTCAATTCGCCCCCATGAAGAAGTCGGTGATCGCCAAAAACGCCGTCGTATTCAGTCACGGCTCGAGGACCTTTTTCAAGGCCATAACGCTTCACACGTTGAATCATACTACTGCTCGGATCAAGGTGCGTGTGAGGATATGAATGACGCCCCCCAGAAAACAAGTGGCAGTGCACATAACGGCGCGTCAAGTCCAGTCTCCGATCAAGACCCTTCAGACGCCTCCGACGATCCCAATCAAGAACGCCCAGCGGACGGGATCCCCCTTCTGAAACCATTCCTGTGCACGCAGCGAAAGTACCAGCTACGCGCAATGGGACGGCTAAAGCACGCGCGTCAGCGCATTAATCAGAAGCAGAACGAGGTAAGCGGCGGAACATTCCGCGCCGCGTGACATCGTCTCTTGTTCATTTATTTACGTGAATTTGTTTGTTCTTTTATATCTTTGAGGCTGGCACATCCAGGGGCGTCTTTTGGAGGCGCTCCGCTCCGTATTGCATTTCGTGTCTGAACATGCTCAAATAAACAGTTCGTACCAAACCTGTGTTTTAGTTACTTCCTTCGTACTTGCATGATAGCAACTTGCCTTCGCAATAATACTAAAAAAATACTTTTTTTTTTTGGAGGGGGGGGGGGGGGGGGACACAACGTTTTCCCACGACGGCTAGGGAACGTAATTTGGAAAGGTTTCTCGACGTTCTGTGAACGTCGTTGGTAGTCCGGATGTCGTAAACACACGTATCATAAACGTCGAGGGAGGACGGAACGGCGCACTGAGACGTGCATGTGACGTGCAACAAACGTGATTTGGAACGTCCCCTCGACCTTCTGTGCACCTTTTCTCGCGGACATTTAAAGGTTTCATCGACGTCGAAGGAAGGTAACGTCCGGACCTTCGACGTTTTACGACGTCACGTTACAGACGTCTTCGACGTTCCTTCGACGTTTTCTTCACGTTTATGTGCTGCTTGGGTATAGTCCGTTGCTGCGCACGCATGCTCGTCATTTCAAAGGAGAGCTCTCGCTGGAGACGTCGCTGATATATGTTGCAAAAGATGTAGTTCAATCTGGTAACTGCACTGGTAGTAGTGTATAGCATGGTCCTGTTCGTAAAATTCGCATGACGCACGTTTCGATGCGTGACACGGCCGCTTGATTGTGTGGCCGTGTTTAGCAGAAGAACCCGGAAGGCGAGAAAAACAATTCTCTTTCTCAGTCAGTGCACTGAGCGGCTAGTACCGACTTGGTACAGTTTCGATGGGAATCTGTAGAAGTTTACTCCGGGGTTCTTCTTGTTCTTGAGAGTTGACGACGCAACATTACCGTTCATGGCGACGTTTCAAACGCATGAAGGCCGCTTGCTCCTGGTTTCGACATTCTTAGACGAAGGACAAATTACTAGCTTGCGGCGAGTTCGGGTCTCCGTGGTAATGTTGTGCGGTGACGACTACGAGCGACACATTTTATGTCGTAACCACGTGAACACAGAAATAGCAGCTGGGTGCAAAGGCCAATAGCCACCCGAACAATTTCGCTACTGAGCGCGGGTGGGGCTTGCGCACTCTATCGCCCGTTACCGCAGGACGCCACGTTAGGTTCAAAGCTTCAGCGCAGGAGACCTATGGGGCTCCCTTTCCGAAGGTGCTATGGAAGACACCGGGGTTTGGGCCATCAGCGGGCCGCCGCAAAGCGGCGCTACGGAGTGCCAAGTGGGTCCATAATTTTGCAATACGCAGCCGCAGACTGTCGCCGCGAAACGGCGTGAGCATAGGCCGGGAGGGGAGGGAGGGGGTGGGGGGGCGCGGCTAAAGAAACAATAAGAAAATCTAAAGTTTGCCACAGCGATATACCTAAAGAGAGTTATAGGACAAGCCGTGGAACTCTCTTTAGGCAGTTATTCAAATGCTGCAGAGTGCTAAAGCCAAGAAGTGATACGACCATAGGCAGAGACAAGGAGATCAATAAAAGAGGAAATAAGAAAAAAGCTAGACAATTATAGATGAAGCGACGGAGGGTGGGGTCAATTTTCTAAAGCCGACCGTAGAAAGGTTTTTCTATAGCCGACCATATGATATTTCTTGTGGGAATATACTCATGATGAAAACAGTGAACTCAAAATGTGTTATCCGAGATCGCTGGTAGAAAACACAATCACACCTCAGGCTGTCGAAAACACTCAACATTGGGCGCACAGTGTCAGTATAGACCTTCATGAGTGGGAAATCATCACGAAAGTGGAAATCTTCGTGCGTACAATGACCACACGACTACGTGAGCGACAAACTATCAGCAGCCCCACCACCGCCCCATCGCGCACGCAGCACGTACCACTGCGCAATTCCCCCGTTGAAAGCGTTCAAAATAGCATGGGAACACCTAATCAATGGGGAACAAAGACACGGTTATTGCGTGTTTTGGGGCGTTAACATGTTTCCTATCGCAATTTGATCTTACGAAAAATAGGATAGGTATTACGAATCGATTTTGCTGGACGCATTTTCTAATGGTAAATTCCCCTGGTAGATCCGGATCGGTTTCCAAAATCTGCGAGGTAGGAGAAATTTCGCTCCGTGGTACCCGCATCAAATAGACGACCGGAAAATTGAGTCGCATTTTCGGATCGACCCGCCGGAGGCAGTCGGTCGTTTAAAATCGCAGCTGCTTCAACTTGCCTGAGCTCGATTTAGAGAGCTACATTAGTTCTCAGACGAACAATGTATACTGTTGCCCTCTAGAGGCGTAAGAAATATCAGACACAGGTGGAGCGCTGAACCACGAAGTTAATGTAACAGAGAGAAATAGATCCGCTTTCGCGTTCCCGGAACGGCGGTGCACGTTGTAACGGCCAGCGGCGAAGCTCACATTGCTGGTAACATATTAATGAACACATTGAGGCAGCAAACTATTCCTTGCGTGGTTGATGCTTAGCTTGTCCTTGCTTTATTGCGCAAGAACATACCGGCGCCATTTTATGCGTAGAGTGAAGCATAGAGCTGTCGCAAAAATGAACACACCTATCATTATAATCCAATTAAATGCAAAGGTTAAAGCAATCTGGACAAGAATGACGAAGATAACGCCTGGAGAAGGGGAAAAAGGGGGAAAAAGGACAAACACATATATTCAAATGAAGCTATGTGACTGGTGCGCGACCGAAACAATCTGCCTGTTCCTGGTATCGCACCAAGGACCTCTCCATTTCTCGTGGAGCGCTCTATCAACTGAGCTAAACAAGAGTTAGGCGCCAGTAGAGCAGACTGGTCTTTTCAACTGCTAACAGTGTAACACCAACAAGGGCGAGCGGCTTGCATTTTAAGGTTATGACCATACTGCAACAAAATGCAAAGGTGCAAGCGAGCTGGACATTTGCATCTAATGGCATTATCATCATAACCTTAAAAATGCAAGCCGTTCAGCATTGTTGGTGTTAAACTGGTGGCAGCTGATAAAAGCCGGTTGCTCTACTGACTTCTAACTTGTGGTTAGCTGAGTTCATAGAGCGCTCCACTGGAAATGGAAGGGTCCCTGGTGCGATACCAGCACCAGGTGCATTTTTTTGAGTAACGCAGCAGTCACCTAGCTATGCTTGGGTATTTGTGTCTTTCCTTTGTCCCCATTTTTGCCCTTGCCCAGGGATTATCATCGTTATTTTCGTCCAGCTTCCTGCATCTTTGCATTAATTGCATTAACATCAGAACATTGATTGTGTCAATTAATATCTAAGATCTTCTTATGCATTTCAAGGAGCGAAGACGAAAGTGTTCATTTCCACGCATAACGTTTCAACCGATTCATTCAATCGGCGCTTTCTGGTCCTTGTTTTTTTTTTTTTTTAAATCCGCCGGCAGTATGAAGGTGAACGCCGGACCGTCGACTGCTCCGGGCTATCAGCGCGATGACGCTGCTGCCGTGACGCCTCGCTTTCTTATCGCGATATGTAGGGCACGACCGTCCACCTCTCCGTGCTAACAGCGCCATGACCTGGCTGCCACGGCAGCCGCGTCATGGCGCTGATAGCACGGAGCGGTTGACGGCCCGGTGTTCACCTTCATATCGCACACGACTGTACGTAGAGTGTCTATGAAAAACAAGAGGGTATTGCTTAGCGTGGCTGACCGTATCAAAATATAAGAAATAACAGCAATTTTTATTCTTGCGTCTTCTAAAACAAACGTCAGACGCACCAATATGCAGAGGTCGTTGGACTTACCGTTTGCAGAGCTGTATAGTGCTGACTATTCTTGTGATGCAGCGGAAAGGATTGAATGCGACCGCAGCGCGAATTGAAAGCATTTTGACTGCAGGCTTCACAAGCAAGGACACGATAGAGGACAGAGTAAAAACGGAATATAAGGTGAGGAGAAATGTGTTATGAGCTCGTCGCGTGGTCCTGAAAGTGAACAATAGGATTCCCGACCGGGGTAGATGAGTGTGGTTACTGTACTATATTGCTTTTTATGTTATTCGATGATGATAATGACTATGCTAGTAAAGCGACACGGGTGCGCCAAATGGGGTCGACATATGGGAAACTTCCCCGGCAAGTCTCTTTTATCATTTTGATATGAGCAGATGGTACGTGGAGCGTAAACCTTTCATACAAGCTCATACATGCTTTTTGCACTGATGGTTGGATGAAATAATTTTGCTACGTAAAGTTTTTACTGATTATTTTTTTTCAGGTGACGAAACCAAGCAAGACAAGTTCGCACTACAAAAATGCCTTTTCAGCGCTTATCACGCAGGCACAAAATGCTGAGTCACTGGGCTGTGGACGCGTGTGCGGCGTCTCACATTTCGTGGAATGCAGCTACAGCGCATTCTCAGAACGCGTTCCATAGCCCAGTAGGAAAAGATAGCAGCCTCCAGAAGGCGACTGTTTGGAAAGGTTTGTTCCATATACTTCGTGGTACGTGGAGACTAACCGCGGCCAACGCTGCGGTTCGATGAAGTCAATCAAGCCGTGCGAAAAGTGCATTGTCATGGCGCTCGTCGTCTTTTTGCGTGTTCCATCACCGGTTAAGTCAATGACGCACATCTGAAAGCGCAGGTTCAGGCTAAGCGTGTGATTGCTTTCGCCTGAAGTCACAAACGCTCAAAGACAACGAGAGCGGTGATGATGAACTTTTCGTGCTGCTTGACTAGTTCCATGGGATTGATAGCCATCAGATACATCCCTTGAAGCATGTTGTTTATACTATCGCAACTATTCTGCCTGATATATCGAACTCCTGTTTAGTGACAGTTGTTTTCCGTCATAAGTGCGTTTAGCTAGAATAACAGTAGTTTACAAAAAGAAAGATAAAAATAATCTATTCAGACGCGAGTCTCGAGATATATTTATCAATTTAACTTGTTAACACCACATCATATCGTTTATTCTAGGGACCTTAGTGAAAACTAATACGTTTATAGTGTGTCCATATGTATTTCTAACGTAGTTTAAATGTATTTTGTGTTTTCCGCAACTTCTGAAGTATCATAAAAATGCGGTCGTCATTCTTCCACTAACATTTAAAAACATATTTAAAAAATGCGCTAAAACTTGTATATTGAAAATGTACTCCAATCACGCCTTAAATATACTTTCTTAAGTACTATGCTCGCGTAAGTCTAATGTATTTCAGTTAATTTTGTGTATAAAATTAACTTGTTCAATATAAAACAAGATTTTTCAAGAATATAATAAAAATACACTTATTAACATACAGGCTTTGTAAATATGTATTATGTACTTTTGAAATGCACATAAGCTGATTAAAATCTTACGTAAGTAATATGCCAATACATTAAACTAATTTTTAAAATAAAAACACTTTAGAAATGCACCCCAGCATATCTAAAATGCGTGAATTGTTGGAAGCGCAGCCGACACCAAATACAATTAATAAATAAAAAGAAATAATCTAAATAAACTTTCATTGCCGTTTCTCAGGTTCCTACAAAGACAAATATTCGACGAGGTATGCTTCCACAAAACCTAAATTGTAAAAACAAGGATCAATGTGAACATTTTTTTTATGTACAGTTCATTATTTCTGTTTACGACTTCTGAGAAAATAAATCCACCTTTTTTTAACGGTTGTACAACGCTGTAGTAAGCTGCCAATTAGTTAGTTCCTCTACAATCGACTCCATACATTTTTACGTTATTAGCCAGAAAACATCTAATTCTTTGTTGCGAAAATTCCTTGGGGGTTCCATGGCTGTTCACGAAAACCATGCGATACATGTTTCGATCGTTCGTGTAGCTTCTCAAGCTCTGAGGTAAGCGTTTCTATAGAGAAGTGAAGGCCGATTTAACATGGCTGCCATTTGCCCGCAACTGGC